TGGGTCAGTTTAGTACCAAGATAAAGTAATATCTAGACACAGCTTGGGTCAGTTTAGTACCAAGATAAAGTAATATCTAGACGGAGCGTATAGGTCAAGTTTAGTACCAAGATAAAGTAATATCTAGACTAAGCTTGGGTCAGTTTAGTACCAAGATAAAGTAATATTTAGACTCAGCTTGGGTCAGTTTAGTACCAAGATAAAGCAATATCTAGACGGAGCTTATAGGACAGTTTAGTACCAAGATAAAGTAATATCTAGACTGAGCTTATAGGTCAGTTTAGTACCAAGATAAAGTAATATCGAGACTCAGCTTGGGTCAGTTTAGTACCAAGATAAAGTAATATCTAGACTGAGCTTATAGGTCAGTTTAGTACCAAGATAAAGTAATATCTAGACACAGCTTGGGTCAGTTTAGTACCAAGATAAAGTAATATCTAGACTCATCTTGGGTCAGTTTAGTACCAAGATAAAGCAATATCTAGACGGAGCTTATAGGACAGTTTAGTACCAAGATAAAGTAATATCTAGACACAGCTTGGGTCAGTTTAGTACCAAGATAAAGTAATATTTAGACTCAGCTTGGGTCAGTTTAGTACCAAGATAAAGTAATATCTAGACTCAGCTTAGGTCAGTTTAGTACCAAGATTAAAATATCTAGACTCAGCTGGTTTAGAGTTAGGCTGGTTTAGTAAGAAGCTACTGAAATATCACCAGGCATACAAACATATCTAGACTCAGCTTTGGCCAGCTTAGTACCAAAGATTTTGAACAAATCACAAGACTAGACCCAGAACAGGCTCACTAGACAGTTAATTATACAGAAATCTCACAGAGTTTAAAACACAGATCAACAGATACAAACTCAGCATCACTGCTGAAATTACATTTTCTCATGTGATGTAATTGTGCACCTGTGGTGTAAGCTAACATACATACAAATACAACAGTACATCTACAGCACAATCAATATTGGAGAGGCGATCTTTGTTGTAAGTGATATTTCCAATTCCATCAGACCAGGCAGACTGAAGACAAGATAATGTTAACTACAGATTGTTAAGTGTCATTGTGTGACACACAGAACCTCGGACAGACAACAGAAACATGTTAACTACAGATTTTTAAGTGTCATTGTGTGACACACAGAACCTCGTACAGACAACAGAAACATGTTAACTACAGATTGTTAAGTGACATTGTGTGACAAACAGAACCTCGTACAGACAACAGATACATGTTAACTACAGATTGTTAAGTGTCATTGTGTGACACACAGAACCTCGTACAGATAACAGAAACATGTTAACTACAGATTTTTAAGTGTCATTGTGTGACACACAGAACCTCGTACAGACAACAGATACATGTTAACTAAAGATTGTTAAGTGTCATTGTGTGACACACAGAACCTAGTACAGACAACAGAAACGTGTTAACTACAGATTGTTAAGTGTCATTGTGTGACACACTGGACCTCGTACAGACAACAGAAACATGTTAACTACAGGTTGTTAAGTGTCATTGTGTGACACACAGAACCTCGTACAGATACCAGAAACATGTTAACTACAGATTTTTAAGTGTCATTGTGTGACACACAGATCCTCGTACAGACAACAGATACATGTTAACTACAGATTGTTAAGTGACATTGTGTGACAAACTGAACCTCGTACAGACAACAGATACATGTTAACTAAAGATTGTTAAGTGTCATTGTGTGACACACTGGCCCTCGTACAGACAACAGAAACATGTTAACTACTGATTGTTAAGTGTCATTGTGTGACACACAGAACCTCGTACAGATACCAGAAACATGTTAACTACAGATTTTTAAGTTTCATTGTGTGACACACAGAACCTCGTACATATAACAGAAACATGTTAACTACAGATTGTTAAGTGTCATTGTGTGACACACTGGCCCTCGTACAGACAACAGAAACATGTTAACTACAGATTGTTAAGTGTCATTGTGCGACACACAGAACCTCGTACAGACAACAGAAACATGTTAACTACAAATTGTTAAGTGTCATTGTGTGACACACAGAACCTAGTACAGACAACAGAAACGTGTTAACTACAGATTGTTAAGTGTCATTGTGTGACACACAGAACGTCGTACAGACAACAGAAACATGTTAACTACAGATTGTTAAGTGTCATTGTGCGACACACAGAACCTCGTACAGACAACAGAAACATGTTAACTACAGATTGTTAAGTGTCATTGTGCGACACACAGAACCTCGTACAGACAACAGAAACATGTTAACTACAGATTGTTAAGTGTCATTGTGTGACACACAGAACCTCATACAGACAACAGATACATGTTAACTACAGATTGTTAAGTGTCATTGTATGACACACAGAACCTCGTAGACAACAGAAACATGTTAACTACAGGTCGAAAAATAACACTGTACAACACAGTCAATAGACAGGCTGTAGGGCTAGGTAGTAAAATAAAGTAGATAGAGATTGCCTAGTATCAAGATCAAGAATCTAAAATCAAACCAACAGTTTGTACAAACAGAAAAATCAATAAGAATTTATATATATATATTCAAAATTATGTATTCAAATTTGAATGTCACGGATGATGTAGTTAATTAGAGGCTTTATACAACTCATAGTAAATAAGATGATATGTTATGGTAAAACTGATCCATGGAACATATTTGTTGGGGTTTTTATCACACTTAACAGATTTGTCTCATCAATCCTTTCAGAATCACCAAGATACACACAATTGTGATGATGTATGTCATAATAAAACAATGGAATCCTGTCACTTTTTATAACCTTGACATCCTATTATAGTTGGGCCATTTGCGTAGGAGGCATTCTCTTTCGCAGAAACATCCGTTTTAGAAGAAGAAGAAAAATATTGATTACCTCCCTGGTGAGAATGACGAAAATCTTTAATCATCCTGGTAAGATTATTGAATATTAAACCATTAGCTATCCTCAAATTTATAAAAATTATAGATTTCTTTATCATACACTTCAGAGGAAGGAAGATTTTATCAATGACAAAGACTGAGAAACGATGAACAACAAGCATCAACTTGTAGTCATTAGCATCTGTATGAGTATACGCATATATCATTGTGTAGATTCTACAGAACCTTATATAGATCCTTTTTGTGAGTGTAACAGCAGAACCTGTATGACCGTAGTAGGATTTCTTTTGTGTGTAGAAAATGTATGCTGCTATACAGATCCTAGTTTGTGTGTAGAATCTGTATGATGCTATAAAGATCCTAGTTTGTGTGTAGAATCTGTATGATGCTATACAGATCCTAGTTTGTGTGTAGAATCTGTATGATGCTATACAGATCCTAGTTTGTGTGTAGAATCTGTATGATGCTATACAGATCCTAGTTTGTGTGTAGAATCTGTATGATGCTATACAGATCCTAGTTTGTGTGTAGAATCTGTATGATGCTATACAGATCCTAGTTTGTGTGTAGAATCTGTATGATGCTATACAGATCCTAGTTTGTGTGTAGAATCTGTATGATGCTATACAGATCCTAGTTTGTGTGTAGAATCTGTATGATGCTATACAGATCCTAGTTTGTGTGTAGAATCTGTATGATGCTATACAGATCCTAGTTTGTGTGTAGAATCTGTATGATGCTATACAGATCCTAGTTTGTGTGTAGAATCTGTATGATGCTATACAGATCCTAGTTTGTGTGTAGAATCTGTATGATGCTATACAGATCCTAGTTTGTGTGTAGAATCTGTATGATGCTATACAGATCCTAGTTTGTGTGTAGAATCTGTATGATGCTATACAGATCCTAGTTTGTGTGTAGAATCTGTATGATGCTATACAGATCCTAGTTTGTGTGTAGAATCTGTATGATGCTATACAGATCCTAGTTTGTGTGTAGAATCTGTATGATGCTATACAGATCCTAGTTTGTGTGTAGAATCTGTATGATGCTATACAGATCCTAGTTTGTGTGTAGAATCTGTATGATGCTATACAGATCCTAGTTTGTGTGTAGAATCTGTATGATGCTATACAGATCCTAGTTTGTGTGTAGAATCTGTATGATGCTATACAGATCCTAGTTTGTGTGTAGAATCTGTATGATGCTATACAGATCCTAGTTTGTGTGTAGAATCTGTATGATGCTATACAGATCCTAGTTTGTGTATAGAATCTGTATGATGCTATACAGATCCTAGTTTGTGTGTAGAATCTGTTTGACCTTATATAGATCCTCGTATGTGTTTAAATCCAGAACCTTTATGACAGTACCAAGATTAATTTTGTGTGTAGAAAATGTATGATGCTATGAAGAGCCTATTTTGATGATTTCCAGCTGCTAAAATAAAATTTTATTGTCAAGATATCAAATATTAAATATCAATATACACAGTCTCAGACAAACGTTACATGAATACCTGGAGCAATTGGTTTTACACACTCTTTAAGAAATTTCTGGTTTTACATTAAATTATTCATATAATTTATTTTTGGTTTATGGACCTCATGGCAGGTTCTCTAATGGGTCACACTATCTTAATCTTAATTCCCTTTGCTACAATCTTCAGCTTATAGTAAAACAGGTTATCTGATGCATTTTATATTAGCAATAATTTTCATTTCACACTTAAAGTGCATGTGTTACATTGTAATATCAAAGCTTAAGACTGTCCATGACGTTACCATCACCTGGAGATTACAACGTCCAAAATTACCTCACAAAGAATCTCAAAAAAATCTCACAAAAAAAAAAAAAGTTTTAAAGTAGTGTAAAATGCAGAATTATATGACAGGTAATTAATTTGATACATAATGGAACCAAAGGGCAAGTTTCATTATTTAATTTACCACTATAATTAACTGAATTAATTTAATGAACTGATGAATATTTTATTTTTTAAATCACAAATTATAAATTCAACCTTGACCGGCAAAGTTATTTCAATTTAGCATTATCACCATGGTTACAGTGCAGGCCTACCTTCTGATGGTTCTATTGTGGAACCAGTGCCCCTCCGCTGGTGCATGTCTAGAACACCCCCATCTCCAACATGGGAAAACTCGCCACTGCTACTCCCTGTAGGGGTTAGGCCTGCGAACTCCCTCATCGCAGGGTCAGTGATGTCCATATCGATTCTCTCCCCTTGGTTCGCGTCTAGGTCCTGGTAGTTGTCACCCTTCGTGTACTTCACCAGGCGACTAAACATGGTGTCCTGTCAGGTGTATAATCCAATCACCAGATTCTGTGTAGGCACTGACAAATGATGCTGGTCATGTGTGGAGCTCCTAACGTGGGGGAGACACAAGTTGGTCTCTAGGATTCCTGTAAAGACAGGAAAATAAACAATGTTTGGTGTGTAGGTTCTACAATGAAGACACAGACAACTACAACCAGGCTATGGCTATAGCACCTTTACACTCATTCATACACAAAGGATGTCACAATATTTCAGATAACAGGCTATAACTAGTGGTGGGAATCAGTTTATTTTGTAATCAATGGTTCGTTTGACAAAATTCTGAAATCTGTGTGATCCATATGCTTTTTTTTTTAAGCTAACATTCTGACACCAGCTTTGTTTTTAAATGTAGCACCTTTTACCTTTGACAATATATTGAGATACATATGGGAATACATGTATATTTTTTCTGTTTTATTAAGTTTTATTAACTTGAATATATTTTTCATGTTATGGAGATATAACACAAAAAAACGTAGTGTACTCTAAATAAGCCGCAAAGCAGTTTATGATGAGAATACACTCCGGTTTTTTGTTGATCCTTGTAATTTAATCTACTATGCACAATCCCTGTGGAAATCCACTTTTATTGATGGACTCTTTTCTCTTAGAAATTATTGCGCTGCTGTATCAGCCAATCAAAAGCGACGTTACAAACGGCAACATCATTTTTTTACGTTATGGGCTGATAACATAAATGTTTAAGCCAATGAAAATGCTTGTTACAAACAAGATTAAATTATCTATATATATCATGATACACTCAAGGCGTATTGTGACACACCTATCATACACAGAGATAGGGTACGCTGTGATTAGAGAATGTATGTATTGTTATGGTTTATGAAGTGCATAGAAAAAGTATATCTGATAACAACTTCTAACCTGATGAGCTCAGAAGGATTCCCTTGTTAGTTTTTATGTGAACAGCTTCTGGGTGTAGGGTATGTAACAGCCAGGAGAGAAAATGCATGGCCAGACCTGGATGCAAACCCAGGACCCTTCAAACTCGAGACAGACAGTATACAAATTGAGCTACCTGGTGGCTGGTAAACAAGCCAGTCTATTTCCCTGAAGACAACATTATTTACACCGGTGTTACATTGTAACAGGAAAGTTAAGAAAATTTACAGCCAGACCAGGATTTGAACCCAAGACCCTCCAAATTTTACCAATTCATTGAATTGTGCTAACTGGTTGCCTGGGATTTACCCAGTCCAGTTCTGCCACAGAGTCTGGGTGTGGTGCTAATGGCGGTGCTGCTAGCTTGGGGAGTGGTGGGGTAGAGGGTGGGGTTGCAGCAGTGACCTGACACTGCCAAAATATGTATCATATGGCATTTGACATCCTCTCTCATCAAATGCTCTATTTTAGATGCAGTCAGAACATGAAAATATTGAGAAACCTTTTAAACTACAAAATACAAGTCAAGATATTAAAACTTTCATGGGGTAATATGGACATATAGTAGTAAAAATGTTATGAATTATTCATATGCTGTCGTATATATGAAAAATTTAATTGCTTTTTACTGTCGACACTTGTACCATACCATGTTGTACATTAGTATATTTCACAAATCTTTACCCTACAGATCATTAAGATTCATACAATGTACTATAAATTTATATATACAGCAAAGCATTAATTACCAGCCTAACATCTCAGTGATGAATAAGTTCTGCATTTTACTGTATGAGATGTATATTAAACATCCCCCTAGCAAATCTTAATAACAAGAGGCCCATAGGGCCTGTATCGCTCACCTGGAAATGTAAGCAAAATTGAAGATGAAATAGTCAGAAGTTGCTGTACATGTATTACATGGTTATTCAGGGGTTATATGTATATGCAATCGGACAAAACCCTGTCATTCCTACAGGAAAAGGAGGATTTTGAAGAATTTGCTATGTTTCCCCTATTGAGCCCCGCCCCTCTGCGCCAGGGGGTCAGATCGAACGTTTATACAAAATATAGTCCCTTTCACCAAAGGATGATTTAGACCAAATATGGACATAATCCTGTCATTCCTACAGAAGGAGAGGATTTTAAAGAATTTGCTAACTTACCCCTTTTGGGTCCCCCCCCTCAGGCCCCAGGGGGGTCAGATCAACTGTTTATACAATGTTGGTTCCCCTATACCAAAAGGTGCATCATACCAAATTTGGACAAAATCCTGTCATTCCTACAGAAGGAGAGGATTTTAAAGAATTTGCTAAATTACCCCTTTTGGGTCCCACCCCTCAGGCCCCAGGGGGGACAGACCCACCATTTATACAAAATTGATTTCCCTTCCCAATAGAATGCTACTGTTCAAATTTGGCCAAATACCTTCATTCCAACGGAAGAAAAAGGATATTAAAGCTATTCCTCTATATCCCTTATTGGGCCCGTCTCTATGCCCCCAGGGGGGTCAGATCAACTGTTTATACAATGTTGGTTCCCCTATACCAAAAGGTGCATCATACCAAATTTGGACAAAATCCTGTCTGAATTTGATCTATTTCCCTTATTAAGCCGCGCCCCTCTGCCCCCAGAGGGGGGGGGGGGGGGGGCACACTCACTGTTTATACAAAATTGAGTCCCTTTTGCCCAAGGATGCTCCAGACCAAATTGGGATAAAATCCCTTAGTCCCTAAGGTAGAAGAAAGATTTTAAAGGTTTTACCACTATTTCCCCTATTGGGCCCCACCCCTCTGCCTCGAGGAGGGCCCCACCCTCCATTTATACAAAATTGAGTCCCCTTGGCCCAAGAATGCTCAAGACTAAATTAGAATAAAATCCCTTAATTCCTACAGTAGAAGAAGGATTTTAAAGGTTTTACCTCTATTTCCCCTCTGCCCCCAGGGGTGACACACCTCCATTTATACAAAATTGAGTCCCCTTGGCCTAAGGATGCTCCAGACTAAATTTAGTCAAAATCTACTTCAGGACTAGTAGCGTTTTAAAGGGAAATTGACAGACGGACGGATGACGGACACTGCGGTATGGTATTTTTAACTCACCTGGTCCGAAGGACCGTGGTGAGCTAAAATAAGTACATACAAAAAACACCTGCTGTATGTGGAGTTGGAATCTATTTGAAAATTAACTAAAAATGCTTAAAACTCAGTTTTGATGCAACAAATTAAGTCCAATAGAACTTTAATCCACAGTACCGGTAATATCGCACCTCTCCCATGTTCACAATTCAGAAAGGGGCATTAACACCAATAAAATAATGTAATATTGAAATTAAATTGCAACTGAATAACTACCTAAGGAATTAATCATGTTTAACAAGTTTATAATAATCATGTAAGTTTTGTTATGTAAAAGTTCTTTGGTATGAAATTTATATACATCCGCTATACAAATGAAGTTACTAGAGTGATGTCATTTCTAGAAGTGGTAACGACGACCTTCACCTTGACTTTGGAACCCAGAAACACAAACTCCTTTGAGGTACATCACACACTCGACCTATTAAACAGTGTGACAGAAATCTGTTGAGAAATAAATACACTAGAATGATGACATTGAAAAAGGACAGGAAATGGCAGGTTTATAATAAAATGACGGAGCCATAAATAAAACTATGGTTTGGTGCCAATACACAGGGTTTGTTATAGAGCAGATTCACTATGATAAATGAATGCTTAAGCATAATTAATTGGAGATTTTTATGACATAATTCCGACAAAATTACAGCTCTTGTCAATTACTAAGTAATAAATCGCTACTCAAATGTTATTGAAATGTGAGCGATTCATTTAATGTACCCAAGGTGAATCTATATATAGCTATTGCATTACGTGATAATGTCTGTTTCCTCACTCGGTAAACCTCTGTTAAATACATTACTAAAATTACAAAAACTGCGACAAGTACCATCATACAAGTTTAGATCATCAGTGATCTCACCCTATTTAGATATAGTTTTATTTTTTTTATTTTTATGACATCCTATTACACCATTTATCAACAGGGAGCCTTACATCTTTTCTTTTGACCCAAAAAGCATGAAATACTTAACTTTATTATCATTATGTGTGCAAATGATCAGGCCTAACATTTGGGACAGTACATAGAAGGATTTACGTACAGCACTGGGGCAAAGTAAATATCGGACATCTAATATAATTATAAATAGGGTCTTAACATTATTGTATCTATAAGTTTAAGCTAGGAACAGCCCTTGGTAAACAACCAGTTAAGAAAGTCAAATACAACATTATATATATATTTGTATGTTACATAAATATAACTTTAAAAAGCACCCACTGTATAAGATTGTGCAATATTACCATACTATGAACTATGAATGTTAAATTTCCTTATCTAACATCTAGGGCCTTGGTCACAGACCGGATTTTGTTTGTTTTATTTGAATCATTTGTTTGAAACCTGTGATTTTGATAATATGGAAAGTTACAAATCTAACAAAACTATTAATGAATGTTTGAAATAAAAAGGGATGCATCTGCCTGTCAATGGCGAATTTGCAGACGAGTAAAAGGTTAAACTGATAAACATACAAATATGTGTTGGCAAGTCTTAGTGTAATTTTTAATCTTAGTACCAGTACACATGTGTATATAACTAGAAAATTTTCTTAAGGGATAAAGAAGTAATGAAAACATACATGTTCCTGATGACTTATCTTGAGTACTTTCAATGCTACAAGGAGATTCTTTAGACCTGAAAAATCACCTAGAAGAGATGAAAGTACTAAAGACAAGTTGACGACAGTGTATTTATTTTAAATTACCTTGGTAATAAATGAAAATTTTGAATTTGTGTTTCTATGTTATAATTCAATTATAAACACAATGTATCGTATTGAGTAGCGTATATTGATCTGAAGGTTTAAGCTTTGGACTACCAGAGGTAATTGCACTATCTTATTATATTGTGTCCCTGGTCAAGTACTACAAACGGTACCCGTCTCTTTATAATGAATTGTATACAGTGCTGTCTATAGGGCACGACCTGTATGATGCCTGTAGTGTAATCTTAGTTTCTCTGACGGAATGACCAGATGGAGTTGTTCCTTTACTCAGCACTCCGTAGCCTGCAGGTGCTCTGAGTTTACAATGGGTCACTAATGCATTACAATCCACCGATTACATAACGTCAATCAAAATGATCAGATATTGTTTTGTGTGCCAGTAGCATGTTTTGTTAAAATAATCAACAGTCAACTGTAATTAACCAAACTCTGTCAATATTGGACTGTACGAGTACCTGATTGTACTGGTCCATTAGCCGATATGCCTTAATTAATGCCTCATCTATTGTTCAAACAGATGAAATCAGGATTATTTACTCATCTAACAGTGTGTTTTATATGCGACACATGTAATCAGAAATTTTTTTAAACTATAAAGCATACTCTATAAAACATGAATACCCCTTGTCCACGAGTTGACCTATAAATAGCAACTGTGGTCATGGCATTGACCTTGGAACACTGACGTACGAACTCATCTGAGGTATTTTCAAACTGAGACTTTTTAATTAGTGTCTGTTGGTAGAGTCATGACATTGAACAACAATGCGACAGGCAGGGAAGGGATTTAACACAATGAGATGGGACAGACATTGGTAAAACTATATACTTCCCTCCCCCCCAACTCTATAAAATAAAAAATTAAGTATTTCATTTTCATCTAAAACATGTTGTAAAATGATTTTCATTACCAGTGGTAATGCTAGCTGTTATTGCCTATTTAATGTTCAGATTTTATTTTTGAATATTTTGTTGGAATTGAATGTTCTTGCAACAGCCCTGATCTGACAATGACATACCGTAATGACATGTAAATGACGGTTGGTGGATACCAGAGTACAAAATCCACATCAAGTCATCTTCACATGCACTTCAGTCTATGTAAAATAAAAATACTTAACGGCTACAGAAAATATCGAACTTTCTGTACTTTGTTTATGTAAAGTACAATAGCATTATCTGATGTCATTACTGGGTGTTTGTAATAAAGACGAGTTGTGTACAGACAGTGATCATCTGAGAACTGAGGTCAACACTATTACAGTCTCCCTAACACTAAACAACAGCCTTTTTGTTACAAAAAGTACAGTCTCCAGGTATTGTGTTTTAATTAAAAAAACAAGTTATTTCCATATAACACCTACACTGGACTGGTCATACCCGCCTGTCTGTATGTAGGAATTGATTTTATTTCATCATAGTGTTTTTCAGTATGCTGTTTTCTTACATTGAATAAATATCATGTATGTGTGCTTAAGAAGCTCAGTGTTATTGTTGACCTTGAGTAATTATAAAGTGTGCTGTTTACCTGCTGGCTGATGAAGTAGTGATACCTTGATTATCCACAGGCTACTGGTGGCCACTATGACTAGGTCTGGGTTTAAGGTAAACAAAGATCCAGAACCTGACAAAATCTGTGAATTTTCTCTATTTCTCCTGACCTTATACCTATGGACCATGATTAGTCTGTCTCATATTTTAAGAGACTCTAAAGTCTGCATAAAGGTTAAATGCATGCAGGTTTTTTTTAATGTCCTGTAAACAGGATCCTTGGTGAAGGGGTTAACATACCTGTAGCTGGTTTCTGATAATACAAAAGTTGATAACTGATTAAGTTTCAAAAATACATGGTTCAAATACTTTAAGTTAACGTATGTTAAACTTTATAAATGTTTTATCGGTGAATTCTGCCATCTGTACACTGCCTAAATGCCAACAAAGGAAGCAAATCTAGTTCATCAGTAATTGTTTCTATGTGTATTGTTATCAACATATCTATGTTGAAGGGTCTTAATGCCACTTAAATGGCATCTATAAGGCATGCAAAAAATTCCAGGAACACTCGATTACTTTCTCTGCAACCTTGGAATTATAATAATACTCCATGACCAGAGCTCAGTGGTTAAAATGTCTGTCTATTATTTGGAGGTCTTGGTTCAATAATCTTAGTCTGAGCACGGTTATCAAGTTATCTAAGTCTGTGGTCTGAGTATTTGCTGTATTTTTCTTATTTCTGAAACATATCATGCCTAACTAAAAACACCCACAGAAGGTGGTATATATAGATTAGCATGTGCATCTTCAGGTACATGTACAAGTATCTCAGTTGGTTGAGAGCATCTGTCTAAAGTTCAGAGGTTCTGGGTTTGAATCTCAGTCTTGTCATTGTGTTATTCCTTTCCTGTTACACATATAATAAACATGGTGGTAGGCTTGAGCTCCCGTACCAATTGACCATGGGCCTCCTTAACTCTCCGGTGCTAGTGTTAGGTCGTGGTGGTGGCCATGGATGTACACAGTCGTAGTTGTGATTTAGATTAGGTAGTATGGACCGGGGTTAGAGTGTAATTAGTAGGTTCAACAGGGGGATTTTTATGTCATACCACGGATACGATAACATGTACCAGAATACCTATATATTACAATATTGCACTATAGGTTTTCTGCTACAGAGAATAGACCTGAAAATATGCACGCATGAACAGTGTACTAAGAAACGATGACAGGTTCTGATACAATATCAATATGGTAAGTTATCAGAATTGGGAATTTTCCCATAGCTACAAGTGTTGTGTTGTCTGGCGTGACTTGAAATGTGCCCACTACGTCAACAACTACTTGTGGATGTAGCCTAAATATTTATATACAATACACATAATAGTGATTACACATCATCTGCTATATTGCAATTACTGTGGTAATGATATAGGATATGTGTAACCCGGATGACACGTTTGATACCAGGTACACGGGCGACATAAGGAAGAAAACCTACCTTGTCGATGACATCCCTGGTTTCCTCTTGGCAAACACTCATCGATCCACCGGCCTAAAACCAGGAAATGAAGTCGACTGCTAAGTTTCGTATTCGGGCACCTGCTCCGAATGTACTAAGGGAAATAACTCTTTATGTGTAACCTTACCCCAATCACATACTCGGTAGTGAAGCGGACGTAAAACCACTCAATCAATTATCAATCACATGTCCTACTCAAATAATCTGATGTAAGAACTATCCATAAGTTCAGCTTAATTACACTATAATTACTAACGATGATAAACGTTTGTGGTATGTGAACACTGGGACATCGTGTAAATACGTCCATGCATGTGCTTAGTACTGCATGTGAACAGTATGTAGATAACATGACTATCGATTCAGTGATAGATTTTAACAGTCAATTGCCATTGAGTTACCTTTATTAATTCTAATGATGGTTTATGAGATGACAGTATATATCATATTGCGCGCAATCATTTAAAACAACCATTAATTGCAATGACAAGAACCCGTATTATAAGCAGCAGAGACATGCCGAAATTATTTTCCCGTCTTTCAAGTTCATTTCCAACTGAAAAGGTTCCACTTTTAGATTTCGAACCACAGTCTAATACAAATGGATATATATATATATTGTATCAGGGAACTGACCGAAAATTTAATAATTTAGATATTACCTAACTGTCACCAACATTACTAAAACGCAGATTTCAAGCAAATTCAACGAAACGCGCTAAATGTTTCAAACGTACCAGTTCAAACGACTATCACTTAATTATTTGAAAAGAGGCCCACCTGAGTGAAATAGTGAATGTTATAAAGTGTTGAGTATATTCATACGAGGATTAGGTCTACGGCAGATGTTTAATCAAATCTATTTTTATTTTATTCAATGTAAATCCAGGTAATGTTTACAACCAGTTTTGGTTATCGTTGAGTTCGCTTTTAAAACACATAACTCCCTTGCCCTGTTCGTGAATATATTGAGTTTTCTTTAATATTACTTTCTCTTTAACTCACATGGTTGTCTTTTTTTCATTTAAATGTCCGAAGTGTTCGAAATAAAATTCCGTATATTAAAGATGTTGCTCACGAATACGATATCTGCTTAACCAAAACTCATTCAGACGAGCATTTTTCTTCTGATGATGATTTATGTCAGGGACGTATAGTGAAGGGGATTAGCAACTCCCTCTCTGCCTTACCAATTTTATGACACATCAATCTAGACTTACCTCCCCCTGATTCCGGAGCAGATAGCGAGCGCCACCTATCTCAATTTTGAGGTATATTTTTCTATTTTTAAACGCGATGTAACGCGTGGTTCAGAGTATCGCCGTGGGCGTCGACAGACAAAAATGCGGGATAAAAAAAAACCCTCATGTATGTGAACCACCTCACTGCAAAAGTATTTGACCGATCTTTTTTAAATTAGCAGCAATAGAAAGCTGAATAAATTTTATAACGACCCAACCCATTTTAATTGCAAATAACATAATTTAACTTGTGTTATTTTTGTGACAAAAAGACTAAATATCAGCATTATTTTTCACTGGAACGTAAATCATTATTGTGAAAGTAGTTGGTGACTGCTCACTGTTTTGATTAAATATTATAAACTATCGATTATATTTTTTAAAACAATTAATATCAATAAATAGCTGAGCAATTTCTATGTTAAGTAGGCCTGATTTGATTTGCATTACTTGGAACGAAAGCGATGTCACAGATGAAATTACTCGTCCCTGTTTATGTATAGGAGGTTTTCATACACCTTTCCGGTTAGATAGAAATTTTGCGGGTGGGAGGATTCTTGTGTATGTACTAGAAAGTCTGAAGGTAAAACATGAATTTGATCTAGAATATCCCGGTGATGAAGTACTATGGATCAGTGTCGAGTTACCTCAGTCCAGTATTTCGATTTGTACAATATATAGACCGGAAAATGCCTTAAGTCCTTTCTGGGATAACCTACGTGAATCTATAGATCGAGCTTTAGATATTTCTCCAAATCTATTAATAAATGATGACTTAAATGTAGATATGCTCAGAATTACCCCAAGCAGGGACAGTATATAGAGGGGATTGGCAACTCTGCCCCAGTCAAGATTCTATAGCACGTCGCTTTTGTGTTTGTTCACCGAACCGCGAAGTCATCGAGAGCCCCCTCTCGATCAGCCTGCGCTTGCGCACTAGCGTTAAAATTAAGCACGCACCTGCTTTCGGTGTCATGTCACAATCTCGCCGAGATCGAAGTGTTTTGATAACGGTTAGCCCTAATTGGGACTGTGTATTAGTTGGTCTTCTTTTTATTCCAGGGACAGGGCTATCGTTGCCACTATGTCTAGCCTTTCGGCTGTGTTGGTGGCTATTACAACAAATCACATTTCGTAAAGCACGTTACAGTGAAAATAATGCTAATATTGACACTTTTTGACACAAAAACAGCACAAGTTATTTGTTATTTTTTGCCATAAAAATTAGTACTACATATCAAAAAATTATTCAACTTTCTATCGCAGTAAATTTCAAAAAGAAGTATTTTTTAAATAAGCTGATCCTCGAATGCAGGCGATACTTTTTTGTTGCGTTTAACATTTCCGGTTGTTTACGGTTTTTAACAACACGTGTCCTTCGTTATCAGACGAGTAATTTCATCTGTGACATCGCTATCGTTCCAAATAATGCAAATCAAATCAGGCCTACTTAACATAGAAATTACTCGGCTGTTTATTGATATTAATTGTTTTAAAAAATAAAATCGATAGTTTATAAAATTAATCAAAACAGTGAGCAGTTACCAACTTACTTTCGCCATGATTTACGTTCCAGTGAAAAATATTGCTGATATTTACACTTTTTGACACAAAAATAACATAAGTTAAATTATATTAATTGCAATTAAAATGGGTTGGGTCGTTATAAAAATTATTCAGCTTTCTATTGCTGATAATTTAAAAAAGATCGGTCAAATACTTTTGGAGTGAGGTGGTTCACATA